ATTATTTATGGTATGATGGAGGAGGCACGGTGGAGTAATGGATAGCGGCTTGGATTAAGGAATTGTAGAGCCGAGTTTAAATTCCAGTTAAATACATTACATTCACTTACATGCTAATACCCTTGGGAAAAGTATGAATCCTCTTCTTCTCCCCACAGCTATGGGTAAATAGCAGGACTGGGTTCTAGAGCCTTGGAAAGAAATGACAACTTACTGCAGGCAAAAAAATCTTCCTTGTCAGTCATGTATCGAAAGATACATGATCGCCTATGCATGTATCACGCATGCCACATAACTGACTGACTGATGTATAGTATGAGGGGCTATCACTATTTACATTGGGACTAATGTCCTCATTTTCTTTGCTAACTACAGCTGAAGTGTTGTGATAACAGATGAGGACATTAGTCAGAATGTAAATAATGTAGATTTTTAATAATTAAAAAAATAAGGTGGCTGAAGGGATCTACTGTCAAAACTAGGGATCTTTGATTTAATTTATTGGTAGGGAAAAGATGGAAGAACATAAATTTAAGAGTATGTGTATTAATTTGCCATTTTGTATCATTCAGATTAACTGTTACTGGCTGTTGCTATTTCAGTTTTAGTAATTTTGTGTCAAGCTAGTCATTGTGCCATAGTTTTTAGGAATAGTTTTGTGAGGATCTGATCTTAGTAACATGAAAGGACAAGCTTAAATGGATGCTAGATTTTTGTCATCAAGATGAAAATACTCTCATTAAAGTTACTGCAACTGGATATTCAGTGAACAATTTAAAATAGATATGAAATAATAATTGACCAATAAATTTTTTTGCTTCTTGCAAGTTGGACATGTGAAATATATTAAAGATATTCCTGTAAGTACATAATTGGAGAAAGGTTTAGGTGTTATGCTATGAATAGAAAAAGGCACTGTGTACTCAGAATAATAGTTTTCAAAATACCGCCTAAAGGAACATCCTTGGTACTGAATTATTTCCAATGTTTCACTCAAAGGAAACAGCCTGCACATTGACTCCATTCTTTTGTACTGTCTGGAATCTGCAGCTTATGTGCCTGCAGCCACACCAGGGGGTCAGTCTGACTGAACTGGCTTGAGTCTCAATTTTAATGAGAGAGTAATTAATCATTTGCCAATACCTAAGGGTATGTGGACTTTTCTTCTTCATCCAGGAACTCTGGTATCAGATAACAACTTGATGAATAGCAATTCCTTGCTCATTAATCTTAACCTCATTTTATTTCACAGAAAAAAAAACAACAAAAAAAACATTAAAGGTTCTGTAAAAATCATAGCACAATAGGAATAAATAACATAATGATATTCCAGACTCAAATACCGTTTCTTTATAAATCTATATCAGAAATATTTTCAGTATCAACTCAGTCCACAAAGATTTTCCTGAAACCTGGATTTATATGAGTCTATAACATATCCTCATTTTGAAAATAAAAAATAAAAATATTTTCTTTTGAATGAGCTTTTCTCTTCTCAATTTAATTCTTTAAAAATGATTATAAAATACACACCCGAATTGCTTGCATTTTGTTTCAGAACTATCCATCAAATTGACAGTGCACCTCCATGAAGGAACTGTCTTAGCTCACAATACTGAATTCTTTTGATTACCATGCAATTAACTCTATGTTCAAATCCTAACAATGCTTTATATCTATTATTTGTATTCTTTAAACTTCAGTTTTTTACAATTTTCAACAACACACTGGGAATATTCTGATACAAAGAAAACACCTATGGAAAAATTGTATCCAAAATTAAGGTTTTAACACAAAAAACACTACTCTTTTGAACAGGGGTGGATTTCTGGTTCTTTCTAAAGAATGACATCACTTTATAAGCTATGAAATTTTATTTACTATTTATTTTTTATTTATTTATTTCTCTCAATAGGAATAGATATGTTTGCTTATTGCCCAGCTCACACTCCTCCCTGGTCTTTTGAACAGGAGTACAGGTTTATTCCTTATTTCCTGTTTAGGATTGAGTTTCCAGTTTCTTCTAAAATCTTCTCATTTTCTTTCATTCCCCGTACCTTCTTGTGTCTTAGTGGCATTATTGCCTTGTTTATGGTGAATTTATTAAAAAAAGTAGTTATTTTTTAAGGAGTCCTTACTATTGGTTCTATCATAGTAACATTATAATACTTTAACAAAGCATTTTATAAAAATTTTCTTTTTATACTCTTATCTTTTCAGCTCAAATCAACAATTCTGTCTTGTAGGAAAATTTGTAAAGTTGTAGGAGAATACTTAGAAAATTTTTAAGTAATTGAATAACTTTTGAAATCAACTCTGGAGATGATGCTTAATAAATCTAATAGTGAAAAAGTTCTCTGAAAAGTCATCAGATTGACTCATTTCCCCAAATCTTACCAAATGACATTTTTTCACAAATTCCCTCTTGGCTAGGCTGATAACTTTCTTTTTCACACATGTATATATATATATATATATATATATATATATATATATATAT